TCCTGCTGAGGACAATACAGCCAGTCACGTTTCTGTGTAAGATCCCTTGTTTTTTCATGTTTAATTAGTCTCACTCCAGGTTTGTGCTCAGTCACAGCAAATATTTGCATGCATCCTTTTCATAGTGCACTGAGGTAAAGTAGATTCCAGAAGCAGTTGAAAGAAATTGTCATTTATACAAAGATATATGGAAAAGCCCACTGGGTACTCTGGCTTGTCAGCACACAGCATGTTGGCTGTTACACCTATTTTAGAACCTCTGAAGAAGAAGAAGGAAGACTGCTAAGCATGTCTTAATCTTCAGACTGTCTCACACCAGATTGTGGGCTAACATCTTCCTTCTGTAGTGTCAGTGCCTCTGATAGGAGAGTCAGAGGCCTGACTGTTATTGCAAGGGTCTGTGTATCCACTCTTCTACTCCAAGTTACTTAGACTAATCCTTGGTTCTATCCCCTCACAAATCACCCTTTTTGGAACTTGAGCCTCATTTTTCTATTACACCAAACCTCAGCAGAGTTCAAAGACAGCCTTCTTTGATCCCACCCTGGTGCTAAAATAGATGCATTCTTTCTAGAGATGGGTATGGTCAATAGTCGAGAAATGCTCACACACCTGTCATGGGGATGAAGTGCTGAGACAAACAGTGAGGAGAATTCAGAGCCTGATGCAGGATGGAAGAAGTGGTTTAGTGAATGTCTGGGCTCCAAAATCCACAGCCCCAGTGTTTTGCCTTCACTAAATCTGCTCTAGTTTTTATGCAGTTTGCTGTATCTCATGAGAGAGGTGCAGCCTTTGCTTTCCTAACGGCCTGCCACTGAACTGGATAGTCTTCTCTCTTAACTTCCTATTAGTTGTCAGAGAATGTACATCTGGGCTTCACTACTTGCCTGTACAAGTTGTTCTCAGACACTTAAAGGTGTAATGAGGAAATGCAAAGATCTTGCCTTTTCAGATCTTTCCTTTGCACTTTCAGGTACAATGTAAAGATGCAAAATTTCTTCAGCCTTAAAGTCAAGAATGTTGGAAGTGAGGACACTGTCAACAATGAGCTGGAAGATGGTAATAAGTATTATGCCTTTAGTTGTGATGACCCATCCATTCCATTATTATGGAAAGGTAAGGCTGAGCAGACAGGTCTTGGAAAAATATATGCTTTAAATCCTTAATGTGGATGAAAACATTGTTACTATTGAATTATAAGGAGAAATTTTTATTGGGTTAACTTGATAATTCATTACTCAGACTGCCAGATTAAAAAAATCCAATATATATATATTTTTGTTGCTTTTTTTTTTTTTAATTCTGAAAACAAAGCTGCTTTGCACATTGGCAATTTTCCTCCCTTTTTGTCTCCTGCTCAGTGATAAGCTACAACACTGTGGTTTGGTTTTGTTTTTTCTTCCCCAGGAAGAAGGTAATTTTCACTTCAAAAGTTGGTTTGGAACTAGAAGTTGGGACTTGGGTATTGAAGTAAAGGACATGGGCAGATCAGTGGGCAAGAGAGATTACGTGTTGAGTTAACATTTTCAGAAGACTGGCTTTAACATTCCTCAATAGCTCTGCATACATTTCCAAGTACATATGTAAAACTGAGAAATGCAGGTTCTTTGCTGTCTGTGTCACTCATAAAGCAGAAGATGGTACCCAGCTTCTGGTACTGAGGGAAACAAACGTATCTGGGTATTTTTTGGCTTTTTTTGTAAGCCTGGTTTTATCATTGTTTTATCCCTCCTTTCTTCCATTCCTTCTTTTCTCTGTAGAGCAAAATAATTTCTACCTTCAAAGCATAAACCATATGATTTAATGAGCTTTTGAGCTACTCTTAACAAGTGAGGTCCCCTTGATTTGTTCTTGCCAATATCTCCCATTCTAGGACACTGAGCTCAGCA